GAAAGAAAGAAAGAAAGAAAGAAAGAAAGAAAGAAAGAAAGAAAGAAAGAAAGAAAGAAAGAAAGAAAGAAAGAAAGAAAGAAAGAAAGAAAGAAAGAAAGAAAGAAAGAAAGAAAGAAAGAAAGAAAGAAAGAAAGAAAGAAAGAAAGAAAGAAAGAAAGAAAGAAAGAAAGAAAGAAAGAAAGAAAGAAAGAAAGAAAGAAAGAAAGAAAGAAAGAAAGAAAGAAAGAAAGAAAGAAAGAAAAGTTATCTGTAATTATAGGAGATAAGAGAAGTATGAAAAGTGTGCCAGGGCTGCATGCCAAAAGGATGGGCAAGGCCAGGTCAAAATATAATTAAACAAAGTGTCTCTTATGCATTGTAATGTCCCCTTTTGATTACATTAGAATTTACAGTTCAGTGGCAAGTTTAGGGAGGGTTCAGGAGCCAAGCCCAAGGCTTTGGAAAGGTTTGTGTGTCGCCTTGGCATTGCAGATTCTCTAGTGGCTAAGATGTTCTCCAAAAAAGTGATTATTGTCTGAGTGGGCTACTACTCACAAGCAAGAGGCAGTTCCTTCTTCTTTAGTATTTTCTTGTTTTGAAACTGGATCCTGTCCAGCATACAGCAATAGTGGCATTTTCCAGTGCTAGCCAGCAGAGTTGGGAAAAGGATTCATTAAGATCCTGAACTCAGTCCAAAGAGCACAGCAGGCTTTGAGTTTATGTTTCTTAGCAAACTCTGACGCCATATAGCAAACCACTTTTGGAGCAGAAACTGGTTATGATATAGCTTGGGTGAAGGGTAGGGTTCTGTTCAAAGATAAAAAGTAGAACAAACTGTGGGGCATCATATGACCAGTATGTGTACCTTTTTATTTAGTGAATGTATTTAGCAAATATAAACGCCACTGAGTCCCAAAGTGTTGAAAGTGTTCTTCCAAAAATTTCAAAATTCAAGGGTGAAATATATTATTTCTAGAAGTTTGTAAGAATTCAAGCAGGGTGGCTTCATGGATGAAACCTCTGATGGAGGTGCTGCCTGCTGCCACTCAACACCCATGCTGATTGGACACTCCCACGACTCATTCCTCTGCTGCCCCCTCCTGTCCCAGAGGTCGCCAGCTTGCTAGGAATTACGAATGCTCCACCAGTGTTCTTGTCTTGCTTCTCTCATCTTGGATAGGAATAATGTGTAGAGCAGTGTTGTCCAAACTTGGGCACTTTAAGATGAGTGGACTTCAACTCCCAGAATTCCCTAGCCAGCATGGCTGG